CCCTGCATCCATACGTCTCCGTGGATGTACTCCTGACTGAATGACAGCTCCATTGTAAATGGCTTTCACAAATGCACACTCATCTCCATGGGATGGTCCTCGCCAAACGAGCAGGAGAGGAAAGGCTATTAGAAAAAAAAGGACATATGAGTGAGTGTTAGCTAGCGCTAATTTGTCACACGTCTAAAATCACATATTCATCACATTTGCATGGTTTTATGCATGGTATGACTGAATCTTTTCCTTGCCTCGCTTTATCTCATATGTCCTTTTTTTCTAATCAGCCTTTCCTCTCCTGCTCGTTTGGCGAGGACCATCCCATGGAGATGAGTGTGCATTTGTGAAAGCCATTTACAATGGAGCTGTCATTCAGTCAGGAGTACATCCACGGAGACGTATGGATGCAGGGACAATTTTCCTTGATTTGAGGGGCTACTTTAACAAATGTTAAAGGCTAAATAAGAAGCAGTTTAAGCATGACCTCCAGTTTCATTATCTATTGACTAGAATGCAGAAGGGTGTCACCGAGATGTGGACCTCAAATATTAAAAAAACGAACCTCTTCAGTGTAGTCGTCATTCCGATATAGAGGCGCCGCATTTCTTGGTGTGCTCGTAGGTGCATTCCTTCGACGATTTATGTTTTCAATGACAGACACCACCTAAACCATTGAACAAAAGAATGAAAAAAACATCATAAGAACAAAAAAGACAAGTTGAGTCACTATAGATTACCTGTTCCTCAGTCAATGGAAGTTCAGGATTTTGTTCGGAATACTGTAGCACCGTTCTCTCCAACTCTTCAAGATCGCCTTCTTCAAGTTCGTCTCCTTCGTCCTCGGAGATACTGGCATCGCTTTCGCTGACAGAGGCGCCAGAGTTGTTTCCACCTGGAAATTTCTGGCTTCAACTTCCTTGGAAATAGCAACAAGTTTGATCCTTAAGTTACCACATTCTTCCAATTCGCATTCGAAATCAGATGAGGAACTTAACGAATCTGATTCCAACTCAAGCTGTACCGGATCCACGCTTGACTAAAGAGACTTTTGTTAGTGTCTACAAGTCGAAAGAAGAAACTGGTGGGTACGCACCATGGTACTGGATTTCTTCAGATGATTACTGAACTCTGCTCTCTCGGGTCTACGATCGTCAATTGAAGGCACCTCAGAAACAGGCGAAATTGGGCCTCCCTGAATACCAATTAGAGAGCGGCTAATGAAGAGGCTTCCCAAGAGATGCTTGCATTACATTGACAACAGTAGTAAAAAGAAGTACTACCTATTGTTACTTACCATTGCGCTGTCACGCATATTCTGAACAGTTCTATCCCGAAGACTCTCAGGAGAAAAAAAGCTGAGAGTTGCCGTGCGCTGCACCAAGCCACTGAAGAATTTAACTAATTTTTGCAAAAAAATACAAATGTAACACGAATGAACAAAGTGTACCTTGCGGGCACGGCATCCCTCGATGCTGCGGTCTCTTGAGAGTATGGTGGAACGACTTCTCGACTAGGGCCTGACGACTCTTCATCGCGATTATTGTTCTTCTCTTGTAAACGCGCGCTACGCTCGATGCGCGCGATTTTCTCCTTTAATGGCAAACGCAAGTGTGTTTTGCAGAAGAACCTGTAAACAGAAATGATTTCAAGCGAAGTCCTTTGATGACCACAAGG